CCCTAGACTGTCACAACGAAATCACAATTAGGTTATGTGCTGGCGAATTCCTGTTTTATGTCTTTGTAGGTGTATAATTAATCTTTTACTTGGCTTCGCCAGTTCTTGTTTTTTATTTTATTTTTTTACTGAAGTCGAGGTATTTCGGATTTTGCAGGGACAGACGAGGACACCCAGGCCCTTATCTTGTGGCGAGCGGCAAATCGGCCTTTGTTTACGGGCAAAAGGCATGCCAGCGTGGAAGCATACAAGTAAGTATAATTGTATGCGTAGTTGTTCACAGTAGGTGCTGAATTATTTTAAATTAATGTGGGCAGATCATAGTTATTTATAGATTGAACACAATCATGAAATAGTGTAATCCACTCTAAACTGCATTTTTTTTGTTCTTGGTAACTCCAACCTAACAATTTTCTTAATGTAGTATTTGTATTGTACATCACTTTGGACAAGAGTCTGCAAAGTACCCATAAACATAAATTATGTCTCTATTTATATAAACTGCCAATGTGTGTTCACCAGTGTCTTCTTAAAAGAAAGCGGCCTCGAGGGGAGGGTAGATGCAAAGGCCCTGAAGAAAAGGTGGGAGAACCTTACCTCCAAATATAAGGTGAGATATGCACTATACTTGCCCTGGTACAGTAAAATAGTCTAAATATGTCACAGCGATATGTAGGTATGGTCTAAATATGTAGTGCATGTTTTCTTTGGCTGTCTTTTATCTACAGGACCTTAAGCATCCCCGTACTGGGATGAGCACAGAGGGGGGTGGGGTGACTGCCGCTTCTTGGAAGTGGTATACCCATATGGATGAGGCAATAGGGAGCAGGCCATCGGTGACACCGCCTGCCCTCTTTGCCTCATCCAGCCGGGAGGTGGCAGTGACCCCACTCCCTCCTGTGGAGAGGGGCACTACCTCCCCCTTCTCTACCCCAAAAAGACAGCGGGTAGACAGGGTGGAGGAACTCCTTAATGCCTTGAGGGAAAGTGATAGGCAGCATGAGGAGGCCATGCAGGAGATGGAGA